CTAAATCTAGAGTAAATATTTTGATCTATCTATATATATACATATACATTAAAAAAACACAAAAAATTTTTTATTGTAATGTTATAATATTATTTAAGTAATTTTATGTTATTAAATTATTTAAAAAATTAATATTTAAGAATAAAAAGTTAATTTTATTATAATAATAATAAATATTAAAAAAATAAAACAAATAATAATTTAAATAAATATATAAAAATAAAAATATATATAATAATTTTTAATAATTGTAAGTTTTGTATGTTTTTCATAAGAATTTATATTATAATTATTTTCGAATAGTTATTTTATTTTAGATTTCATTCTATAATTTAAGATTATGTAAGTTTATATTCAATTAGTTAAAAATTTATTATATTATCTTTGTCCATTTTTATTTTTTATATCTTTTCCATTATTTATTTATTTGTTTATTTATATTATTAAAAAATTTAATTTTGTTTCTCATTGATTTTTTGTTATTTTCTAAACGTACAACCCATTTTTTGTTATTTTTTACTCTTCTTACTTTTTTAATTATTCAATATTTTTAAGTTATTATTTTTTATTAAAATAACATCAAAATTTAATTATATAAATTTTGTTTATAATTTCTTAAGCTAAATAAATAAATTATTATAATATTTTTGTTAAAATTAATAATTAAATGTTTTTAAAATTTTCTATAATATTTCAATAAAATATAATTTTGTTTAGAAAGCAATCAGTAAAATTAGAAATGAGTTTTAGATATTTTTTTTGAATTTAAATTAAATAAACAAGTGAATATAAAAAAATTATTTTATTTTTATTTTGTTTTTGTATTCTTTTATTTATTTAAAACAGTAAAATAAGATATATAAATATATAATATAAATTATGACAATCTTAAAAAATAAAAAAAATTATAAAATAAAAATCATAGTTTATTATCTATATTATAAATATTGTTTTTCTATTTTATAAAAAATCAAAGTTATAAAAAATTAAAATTAAAAAAATTAATGTTATAAAAAAAAAAATATAATTTATTAAAAAAATTTAATATTAATTTTTGATAAAATATAAATTAATATTTTTTAAATATATAAATTATATTTTATTTAAATATTTACGATTAATATTAATATATTAAAATTATTATATAATATTATGTTATTATATGTTATATTTAAATAAAATACTTTTTTATTTCTTAAAATATAAGAATAATTTTTTTTTTTATTTTAATAAAAAAAAATCAATAATAAAAATTTATATTATAAAAATATTTAAATTAAACAATAAAAATAAAAAATATTATTATTTAATTTGTCATTTCAATTTATTTATTTACTTGCCCAAGCCTCAGTACTATCATTATATATTTATTTAGAACTAAATTTAACTTTTTGAACATCATTTTTTGAATTTACAGCATTTTCTTGAATTCTACTATTAATTATTTAATTAACAGAAATATTTTTAGAATCTAATGTTTTAAGTCTTTAGATTTCGCTCATATAATCATCAATACTTTATCTTTATTTATCTGAAAAGAACTGTCTGTTTTTTTTTAAAAATTATATATATCATAAATTAAATAAATAAATACTTCTTATCAACATATATATCTTGCATTAATCTATAAACTTAGTATTTTGACCAATCTTTAATAAGGAAATTTTTAGTAGATATGATTGCATTAAAAATCAATTATTATTTATATTACAATTAATCATTTTGATTATACTTTTATAGCAAAAAATATATATAAAATAAATAATTTTTATATATTTTTATTACCAAAATTTATTATGTTTATTACGATAATTGAAATTCATATAATTTTAAGTCATTTTATTCATTATTTTCATTATTTTATAATTTTTATTAGCAATTTTATTAATTTGATTTAATTTCTTCTGTTTAGTTTTCATATTCTTTTTATTTTTATTTTTATTTTTGCTTTTGTTTTTCTTCTTCTTCTTCTTCTTTTTGTTTTTCTTTTTGCTTTTCTTCTTATTTTTTATTATCAAATTATAATTATTATTATTAATCTTATAATTTAAATGGTGCTTCTTGTTAATTTTAATTTATTTCTTATTATTTTTATTAGCAATATTAATTTATAAAATTTATTAATTTATCAAGACTTTTTTAAAACTTTTATTTATTTATAAAAAAATATAATTTATTTATTATAAAAATATACATGAAAACTATCATCTGTATATAAAAGTAAATTAACTCTAAATATATCCAATATTTTATAAAAGTCTCCAAATTATTATTAAATGCAATGTTCCTTTTTTTCTATTATTTAATATAAAATAGCCAAAAGGTGTTTTTTGTCATTTTTTTATGTAAATTTTAATGACATTAATGATAATTAATAGACAGTCTATAAATTTTAATAAAATATATTAATTATATATTTTAATTATATATTAAAAAAACTTCTAATATATGTGAAGGATGTATACGTGAAATTTCATTTTTAAATAACTTTTTAATTAATTCTAAACATTTTGAAGATTTATTTTCTTAGTTTATTTGCTTTAATATTTTTTCTAGAGCTTCGTGTGGTAATACTTTTTTTTTTTATTTAACGAAATAAAATATTAAAATTTATTTTTTGGATTAATATAATAAAAAAAAGGAAATAATTATACGATATACTACATTTATATAATTTTAGTTCAAGTACTTGTTTTTTCTTCGTTTGTTTTAATTTTTTTTTAAGGATTTTCTTAAAGCAAATATTAATTTAAATTTTATTTTTGATACTAAAAAAATAATAAATTTATGGCTTTTAAAAATGATTTACTTATTCAAAATCATTTAAAATTTGATCAATTTTATTTTCTGATGCAGTATTATTTGCACATTCTCTTCTAAATTTATTATCAAAATTCATTGTTTTATATTATAATTGAAATTTTTATTTTTTATATATAATATTTTTTTTTAAAAGCCTATTATTATTTTTAATTTATTAAATATAAAAAATTTTAAAAGGAATTCAAATAATTATCATTTTATATGGATAAATAAAAACAAACATAATTATATGATAAATTAAAATAAAAAAAAATATATAAATTTATTTAAAATAATTAAAAAAATATTAAATTTTTTGATTAAGTCATAATTTAGAAAAAAAATATTATTTATAAAAAAAATTAGTATACAATATTTAAATAATTAATAAAATAATAAGAAATTATATAATAGGTGATTTATATTTTAATATATTTATTTTATTAAAAATATATTTATTTTATTAAAAATATATTTATTTTATTAAAAATATTAAAAAAAATCAAAATTAAAATAAATTGTAATAAAAGGTTTATATATTAAATGTAATACCAAATTATTTTAACATAAAAAAACATGTAAAAATATTTAAATTAAAATAATTATAAAGGAAAAAAAACAAATTAATTTTATTATAAATTGATTTTTAAAATTATTTTAAGATAAATAATAATAAATATAATTTTTAATGAATATAATAAATTATTAAAAGATTTTCTAAATTAATAAATAAAAAATTACTTAAAAAAAAATATTAATAAATATATAAATAAATAAATATAAAGGCATTAATATATAATTTTTAAATATAAAATTATAATATTTTAATTTCATTTTTTATTTATTTTAGACCAAATTTTTATTATAAGATTTTATATAATATTTTATTTTATTTGAGAATTCTATTAATTATTTTTTTATGATTTTGTAAATATTTTAAAATATAAATTTTTTAAATTTTTATTATTTTAAATATTTTTTCTTCCGCCATCTTTTTATATTTTTTTTAATTATTTTTTTAAATTTTTATTTTTATATTTATTTTAATTCATTTTTTATTAAATTTATATTTAACATATTTTATTTTATAAATATAAAATTTCAATTTAAAATTATTTTGTAAATAATCATATTTTTATTTAAATATATGCATAAATTATTACTTAATATATAAATTTAATATTATTATAAATATAATTTTATCTTTTATTATATTATTTATTAATTTATGTTAAAAATGGATATATTTAAATATATTATTCAAATATAAAATAATATTTCTATAACAAATATTTTTTAATAAATAAATTTTTATAAACAAATGAGTATATTTATTATAAAAATTTATAATAATTTTTTTTTTAATATAAAAAAAACATATATTTATAATTTTTATATAGAAAAAAGGCTAAGTAAAACATAAACCTTTTTTAAAAAATTAAAATGTATATAAGTTATGTAAGCATGTTTTTTTTTTAATTTTTTAAAAAATTCTTTTTTAATTTCAACCTTTTTTTAAGGAAATTAATTTTTTAATATACAAATAAATATTTTTTTATATATTTTTATACAAATACTATATTATATTATTTTTTTGTAAACTAGAAATATTATTTTATATTATTTTTTAATAAAAAATAACTTTAACAATTTATTATAATATAATAGAAGATATAAAATTAATTTAATGTTTTTATCTAAATTAATATAAATATTTTTTATATATGTTTACTTAATTATAATTATTATATTTTATATAATAATATAATTATTTTTATAAGATGACATCATTATAATAATTAAATAGTAACTAAAATTTTTATATTTCTCAAAAATGAATTTTTAATTCCTTTTTTTAAAAAAATATAGAAACTAAACATAATACAAGCAAGAGCTATAAATATATTTGGTAATCCGAAATTTTAATCAACGATATTAAATAAATAATCTTATTTATTATATTTCTCTAAAATAGTTAATATTATAACTTTTACTAAGAAGTTCTATTAATTTTTTATATATATACTTTTATGTTTAGTAGAATTAGATATTTATACAAAATAATTTAAAATAGATGGTATATTATTCCATTAAACATATAATCGAAATATGTAATTAAATATAAACTAATAATGAAGATAAGCTTATTCATGGAAATATAAGATTAAAAAATATTTTATACAAAGAATAAGAAAATTATGGAAACCGCCTTTCCTTCTGATTTCGAACATTCTGAAAACTAGCAAGTTCAAGAAAAACATGAGCTGTAAGCGAATTAATAGTTTTTTTATATAATTCCTTAATAAATAGTATTTATTTCTAAACAGATATAGGCTTTTTAAATTTAAAAAAGTAGTATTATTTTTTATGGAGAAATAGTATCAATGAATTATATTAGAATATAGTTTATCCTATTGAAAATAAAAGAATTACTATCGAAAGTGCTATGTTTTTTAAAAAGCGGATATTGATAACATCTTTCAGACATGAGAAATCACAGCTATAATAAATTTTCGATTAAGTAAAATTTATATATTTAATGTAAATAAATTTTAATTAATATTAAAAGAATTTTTTTTGAGAATTAATTTATTATTTTCCCTTCTATTTTTTTAATTAATAATCTTTTATTAAAAACAAAATAAAAGTTAATGTGTTAAATTAATTTCAAATTCTATTAAAAAATATTTTTTTTCTAATATTAAAAAAATTATTTATCTATAATTTTATTATTACTAAAAGATTTTTATAAATGATGTATAGCAATCTAGAAGAATAAAGATAATCAAAAATTTTAAGAAAATTTAACTCTATAAAGTAAGAATAAGGAACTGTATAATCTTCGAGTATAAAACTATTAAATAAAAATTATATTTACTTTTTTTACAAAATAATAATATTTTAGATTAAGTAAAACATGTATTTTAAGAACCATACTTTTTAAATTCTTTTTAGATGGAACCTCCTGTTTTGGCAATATTTTTTTACTTATCAGCAATTATATATGCATTATATTATTATTATGACAATTAAAGACATGGTTTATTTAAAAAAAAAACAATTTTTTAAATATATTTATATTTAGAAAACAAAACAAAATATTATATTTATGGAAGCGTAATTTATTTTATTAATATTTTGGATATCATAATGGGAGAAATTACTAATTATTTTACCAATTAAATGAATACTTAATAGCTTTATGAATATTAGGAAAATTTAAAATAATAAAAAATTCTAATAAAATATGAAGTAAAAGCTTATCATACTGAATATTAATATTATTCTAGAAAGAATAATAGTAGAACTGTAATTACATATAGAAATAAAATAAATATGAATTACGATATTAGCTAAGATTAAACAGAAGAGATTACTTAATTTTTTGATAAATATTTGATTTTTAGAGCACATACATTTATAGTTTATTCTTTTGGAAATGAATAAAGTAAAAGAATATGGTAGGAAATTAAAAATTATGAAATGTATGAAGCTAAAAGAAGAGACAAATATTAATCAGATAAAGAAGAAATTTCTTTGCAAAATTTAAAAGAAAATATTCTTATTGTAAATGATATTAAAAAAGCATAAAATATACCATTTTTTAATTAGTTAGTTTTATATAAAATATGTAATTTTTAATTTTTTTATTTACTAATTAATAGTAAAAGTTTTGTTTTATTTTCTTTATTTGGATTATCTATTCCTTATAGAATGTATATTAATTCTAAAACTTCCTTATTGCTGAATTATATACATAAAGTTATTTATATTGAACCATCAAATCCATAATATTAAAACATAAAAAGAAGTTCATAATAAATTTTTAACAATAATTATTATGAAGTATTTTTAAAATTTAAAAAATATATATATATATTTATGTTATAAATTAAAAAAAATAGAATTTCTAATAGTAGTAATAATAATAAGAATATTAAGAACCTCCAATAAATCCAATGATAGACTGAATTTGGAAAAATCATTTTATTTGAAAGTGAAAATTTATAAAAAGTAAGCATTAGTTAATGCTTTTTATAAATAGCAATAAAATAATTTTATATATGTTTTTGATAAAAGAAATTTTCTATTTTTTAATCTTTTTCATTTATTTATTATATTATTTTTTAATTATTTACTTTCATTTAATGAATTTATATAATGCTTTAATTAAAAATTAATGATTTTTTTTTATTTAAACTTATATTAAAATAAAATATATGAAAATATAAAAAACATTATTTTTAAAATACAATTTCAATATTAATTTTATTAAAATATAAGCAAAATAAAAATGCTTATTTTAAAATTTTAAATATATATCAATAAAATAATTAAATTCATTTTTTTCTTTTTATCTTTAAATATTATTAAGTTTATTAATAAATATATTTATGAATTGAATCATATATTATGCTCTAAATAATAAAAGTATAAAAATATAATAATTAATTATAATAATAAAGATTACGAAAATTTTATATAAATTAATTTTTCGTTATTAATTAATATCTCTGTCAACAGTTAATTTTTTAATATATATGACATAAATATTATATTTTAATAAGTCTATCATAAAAACATAAAAAAATGGCTATATATTTATATGGTATATTTTAATTAAAAAAAATTATTATATTTTGTACTATTTACTAATATATATTAAATTAATAATTATTATTAATAAATTTAAATAAGTATTATTAATATTTTTTATATTTTTTTTTAAAAAACATAAATTATATTTAAATATAAAATAATGTAGCAAAATTAACCTTTTAATTTAAAAACAACTCCATAATAAAAATAAAGCCTTGATGAATTCTCAGCTTTGCTTGAAAAATGTAAAAAAATTTAAATAAAAATATCATTTGTTCATATTTTTTTTATTTTTTTAAAAAACTTAATCAATAAAAAATGCAATAATCCATTTTTTCTTTCATTTTTTTTGATTGAGTTTTTTTTAAAAAAAATACTGAAAATACATATATTTAATATCAACTAATTTCATATTAAAATTATTATTATTATTATTTTAATTTTAAATTTAATTATTTAAATCCATAAATAATAGATAAAAACAATCCAAATGCTTTATCTTAAATTTATAAAATAATGAATTATAAGCCTGTACCTTAGAATTAAGGAGAGTCTAAACTAATCGATTATGAAACTATGAGAGAATTTTTAAAAGTTAACAAAGGAACATCTGAATTCGATTTATATGACGATATTTTATATTATGATGAAAACAAAATAAGAGAAGTTGTTTTGAGATAAAATTTCTTGATATCAAAAGGTTATTTTGATCCTAAAAAATACTTCCCTTCTATTTAAATTAATGATTTAGAAGATACATAATTTGATTAAAAGATAAAAGGTTTTTTATATTAAATAAAGCAAAATAAATATATTTTTTATTTAAGATATGCTTCACAATAATGTGAATACAAATTGATTTAGAATTTCTATTTATACAAAGAAATGAGTTTTTAATAACTTAGAAAATTAAATATAAAAACATAAGATATAATAAAAATAATCGAATTATATATTATTTTAAATATGAAAAAAAAAATTCTTTAAATTGAAATATATAATATTTTTTATATATTAATTTTTTTTATTATTTCACAATTTATTTAATGTTAATTATTTTATAATTATTATTTATCTTTATTTTATATAAAAAGCAAATATTAAAAATATATTTAAATTATTTATAATGATAATTAAAAAACTCAATTTTAATATTTTATTAAAAAAGGAGTTTTTTTAATAAATACTTTAATTTTCAAAAATAAAATTTAATAAAATAAAAATAAAAAATAACAATAACAATAAAATATATATATATATATATATATAAATATAAAATGCAAAATATAAACTCATAAAATCCATAAGAAATATTAGAAGCTTAAGCTTTTGATATATTAGAAATGGAGTTCCAACAAGTTTTAAATGAATTATCATAAGATTAAAGTCTTATAAGATTTAAATAAGAATTTGAAAAATTCCATAGGGCATTAAAGATTTCGCATGAAAACGAGAAAAGATTGCTTGCGAAATGTCGAGAATATACACAGGATATAGGTTAAAATACTGAAAATTTATAAAGTGTATTAAAAATGACATAGGAAGATAATAATAATATTAATAATTTAAAAAATGAGCTTGAAAAAACATATAAGATATTAGAAATGTCAAAAGATAAAGAAGTGAAAAATAAACTAAAAGTGGAAAATTTATTCAATGAAATTTAACATTTAAACAAATTAATTGAACAAGCAAACAGTTCAACTTCAAATAATTAAACTACTACTGTACATGATTTATTAGTGACCAAAGAAGAACTTTAGAAAGAAGTTGATTAGTTAAAAGCGAATATTAGTTTTATTAAAGAAGATATTCAAAATCTTAACGACAAAATAAAAACAAATGAAAATTATTATTTAAATTTTTAGAATGAGTATGGACAAATTCAAGAAGAAAAAAAATAATTAGAATTTATTATTTTGAAAGATGATGAAAATAAAAAATTTATTCAATAGGATTTAGATTAGATAAAAAACGAATATGAAACTTCTAAAAAAAAGCAAGAAAGCTTAAAAAAAGAAATGGAAGATAAGTTAAAAACGAAAGCTAATTTGTCAATTATTATAAAATAAAATGTTTCTCATTTGAACGAATTAAAAAATAAAACTAAAAAATATTTGCTGAAGAAAAATTTAATTTTAAATGAAAAGATATTCATGGATAAATAAGAATTTTTTGAATTTTAATAGAGGTTTAATGATTTAAAAGATAAAGAAATGCAAATAAATGAATAAATAAATTCTGAATTATAAAATAAGAATCATAAAATAGCATAGATATAACATTTGTAAAAGGAGATTAATGTAATTAGTCAATCTAAAGATGCGACTGAAAAATAAAAGATATTCTTTAATAGGGATTAGTTTAAATCGAAGAAGATATTATTCAATAAAGAAGAGTTGCAGGAGAAGATAGGAGCCTATTGGAAGAATTGAAAAGAAATAGAGATATTTTGTAAAAGGAAATTAATAGGGCGGATGGAAATAATAAAGAATAATTAGAAGAAATATTACAAAAAGTTAAAGTTATTAAGGAAAAATATAATGAATAATAAATTCTTATAAAAAATATTTAGAAAATAAATGAAGAAATACAAGTGGTTAAGTACGAGAAAGAGAAATATGGGGATTAGGCTGCTTAAGCTAATGCAAAATATTTCCATGCTTTGGAAGAAATTAAACTTAAGGACAATTTGATTTCTGAATTTATAAAAAAAAATATTGAAACTGAGGCTAAGCTTAAATAGTAGTAAAACTTATACGAAAGTGTTAGATAAGAATAGAATTTTTTCTCAAAAAATCTTACAGAAGCTCAGAAAGATTTGGAGGAGATTAAGAAAAAACAAAAAATAGTAAATTAACAGATTTCTCAATTAAAAGAAGAGATTGATGTTAAATAAAAGCTTCTACTTTAAGAACATATAAATCATAAAAAAAAAGACGAAGTCGCAAAAGATAAGGCAGCTCAAAGTTTAAAATATAAAGCAGAAATGGGGGAAAAAATAATTATAATTAAGTAGTTTTAACAGGATATTTCAAAATTAAGGTATATGATTTCTGAGTCGGAATCGTAAAGACAAAAACTTTAAGAAGAATATGAACTAGTTGTGACAGAAAGGGATATTTTAAGTAAAAAATTAATTACATACTATATTATTTTTTTATATATTTTACATAAATAAAGGTACTTAATTAATAAGAAGAAACACAGAAGCTGCTTTACTTTATGAAAAAATAAAAATTAATTAAGCCACATTAAAAAAAGGAGAAATTTTATATGCATAAAGATTAGGGGATATAATTATTTGGAAAAGTAAAATTGCAGACTTATTACTAGAAATAAAATACTTTAAAACATAAACAAAAACTATTTGTGAAATGTAAAAGGAAGTACGTAATTTATCGAAAGAATTAATTGAAGAAAAATTAAGAGTGAAGTTTCTTTCTCAAGAATTTTCTAATCCCTTAAATATACATAGATGGAGGAAACTCGAAACTACAGATTATGAAGCCTATGAGTTGCTATTAAAAATTTAATCTTTGTAAAAAAGATTGATTTAAAAATCAGAAATTGTCATTTAAAAAGAAAATAATATTAAAAATAAAGATATAGAGTTGTAAAAATTAAAATTAGAAATGAAAAGATAACCCAGTAATGAAGAAGAATAAATGATTTAGGTGTTTTAAGATACTTTAAAATAAAAAACAGTATAATTAAAAGCTATGAATGGAGAAATTACAATATATTAAAGTCATTTGAATGAATATAAAATGGAAATCGATAGATTAAATAAGGATTTATAATAAACTAATAAAAAATATTATGCCTAAAAAAAAGTTCAGTAATAAAAAATGGAATAATCTTATAAATTTAATCAAGCTTCAAAATTAAAAATTAATTTACCAGATAAAAGAATTGTGGGGGGAGGATTTAATATAATCTTATATCATAGTTGAATATATATAATAATTTCTTTATTAATTACGTAAATATTGTAAAATTTATTATAAATTATTAATTAATAAATAAACAAGCAAAAGTTTTTTAAAATTATATATTTTTTCCTTTTTTTTAATTTAAGAATTTTTCTATCTATTTTTTAGTATACGAAAGTAATATTTATAATATATTATTTATATTTAAAATAAATATTTAAATATATTATAAATTCACTTATTTTATTTATTAGCAAAAATTAAATTTAAAATTTAAATATTAAAATATTTTTTATTTATATTATCAAATAAATAATATTTTTTTAATAATAAAAAAAAAAAAACGCTTAACTAAAAAAAAAAATGTAAAATTATACTTCACTCAAAGATCTTCCTGAAAGCCTAAAAAAGCAATGATTCCATTTTTCTTGTACAAATAAGAAGTTTACGAAACTGTAAAACAATAAAATCCAGAATTAAAGATGACCGAACTAACATCTTTAATAGCTGAATAGTACAAAAAGCTTCCTGAAAAGGAAAAAAAGAAATATGAAGATGATTACTAAAGAAAAAAGCTTGTTGCTGATAAAGCTGTTGATGAATGGAAAGCTAAGTATGGAGATATCGAGAAGAAACTTAAAGATGCTGAAAAAGAAATGAAAGAAGAAAAAAAGAATCTAAAAGAACAAAAAAGTAAATCCAAAGAGTCAAAATAAAATTCTAAACTAAATGAAAAAAAAGGATAGGAAAAAGAAAATTAAAAAGAAAAAGAAAAAAAAAAAGATGCTAAAGATCATAAAGAAAAAGATCATAAAGACAAAGAACATAAAGAAAACAAAGAAAATATCCAAAAAGGAAAAAAAATGTAATCAAATGGAAATTAAGTAAACTAAAAGAAAGAACCAAAAAAAGATAAAAAATAAAAAGATTGAAAATAATAAAAAATAAATATTATATTATATATATTAATATATATATATATATATATATATATATATATATATATATATATATATATATATATATATTATATTTATTGATTTATAAAAAAACAAAAAATTTTTAATTTATATTATATATATTGTGATATTTGTAATTTATATAAGTATTTTCTTATAAATTTTATATGTGAATAAATATTTTTATGATTTATTTATTATTTTTTCATAAATTTATTTATTTTCTTTAATTTTTATTTTAAACACTAAATCAACAAATAAAATGAAAAGCGACTTTTTTGTTTTGATCTATACAAAAAAATACAATATAAATAAAATTTATAAATATAATAGATATAATTTATGAAGACATTATTTTTTTAATTTATAAATATTTTTTTTTTGATTTTCAAATAAATATTTTAAAAATAAAAAATATATTTCAATTTGAATTTTTTGTTAAATAAAAAATATATATATATGTAATAATTATAATTAATTTTTTAAAAATATAAAATTCAAAATATATTTTTAAATTATGCATAAAGCAAATAATTTTTTTTTTTTAATGTTTTATTTTATAGATGTTAATTTTAAATTTAATAAATATTTAAAGTTATATTTTATATAAACATTTTAATATATCTTTTTTATCATATTAAATAATTATTTTTAATTATAATATTTAATATATTAATTTATATGTATTTTTTTTTTTATTTAGTAAAATATACATGAAATTTATTTTTTTTAATAGTTAAAATAAAAAAATAAATAATTATAAAAGAACATGTATTTATACTAATAATTTAAATGTTTAAAATATTTATTATATTGAAGTTTTTTTATTTAAAAGCTATTAAAGAAATTTATAGATACAGAAAGAACATATAAGAATTACATGTCTTTATTTAAAATATTTTCATATAATTGGCAATACTACACAAATTACTATAGATATTAATAATATAAATATTACTATTCTAATTTTTAATTTTTTATAGAATAATTAATTTTTTATTTGTTTTTCTTGGCTAAATTATTATTTTTTGTATATTTACTAACATGATATTTATGTTTCTCCAGTTATTTACTTTAAATTTTCTTAAATTTTTAATTGAATTTCCTCATTCTAAATTTGTTTGGCTTCATCATATTTTATTTCTATTATTGGAATGAGAAAAGTTTTACAAAATTATCTTAATAAATTTATGTTTTACTTATTATAGTTTGGTAACTTTTGTAATTCAATTTTTAGCTCATTTAATAGATTTTCTATGCTTTATTATGGAATATCTTAACTTGCTAATATTGCATATAATATTTTATTTTAATCAATTTTATAACAGAATTATCCATCATATGTTTGAATATATTAAGTTTAATTAACATGCAGCTCTTTAATTTTTTAATATTCCATTAAAATTTAGTTCTCAACAAAACTCTAGTACTAATTTAAATCAGACTAAGAGTTGAAAATATAAACTTAATCAATAACACTATAAATAGTAAAATATTTTATGTTTTATTACATAAATATCTATAATAATTTTCGAAATAATAAATAATTATTAAAAATTATGTATTGTAATTTCATAAATAAAAATTTAAATTTATCTAATAATAATAATGTATTAAAATATATAAAAAACTATAAAGAGAAAAGATAGTAATGCAAAAAAATTAAAGTTATTCATTTTTTAAAAATATAAATTTTTAATATTTGTTAGTAATTTTATTAATATTTGTATATTTTTTTATATAAAGTTAACTTCAAAATATTTGTGAATAACTCTATTATATTTATAATAGAATCATAGATAAATGGGTTATAAATTGTGTAAATTTTATAATATTAATTTTTTAAACTTTTTAATGATTTTTTATAATTAATAGTTTATATAAAATGATATCTATATTTTTAGAATTAATAATATATGCATAATTATCTTAAAACAAAAAAACAAAGACTTATAATAAATATTAAAGTTTCAATCAAACATATATTATAAAACCAAAAATCTTAAAAAGCTTATCAGTCATCATATTTTTATTCTTTTCTTTTTTTCCAAATAAATTAATATCAAATATATTTAAATTCATAATTTTTATATATCAAATAAAATGATTTTTAATTTAAATACATTTTTGTATCTATTTTTATCTATTTATTAATAATATTATATTTAAACCTAAGATAATTTGTTTCAAATTTAATACATTTTTTAAAAATATAAAAAATTGACTTTTATAAAATAAATTTCTTTATAATTATGATAGCAATTTTAAAATAAAAACCAATTATTATTAAAATATATATAAAATGACTTTGTTTTTATTAGTTTATAATTATAATATTAATCTTCTTTTTTAATTAATTATATATGTATTTTAATTTATATACTTAAGTTATATTTTTTTTATATTTTTTTTTCTTCATTATTCTTCTACTTATTTAATTATATTTCTAAGAAAACCTTTTTATTTATCACTATCATATAAGTCATTCCATTAATTAAAGTTTATATTAATTATTTTATACTTTTTATTTATCAAATAATTTTCTTTATAAAGGTGATCTAAAGTAAACTCTTTTGTATTAAAATTTCTTATTCGATAATCAAATTTATAATGATAAAAACCATTATATTCTATTATAATATAAGGATGTATAAAAATATCTACTTAAAATTAATCAATTTAAACGTTTTAAACGACAAAATAATTTAGTTCTAATAAAAATTTATAAATTTTATTTTAAGTATTCGACATTATATTCTTTGTTTATTTGGGCTTATTTTATTTATTATAATCATCCATTAATTTTTAGATTTAAATATTGGACGTTGAATTTTTAAATTAACTAAAAAAATAACTTAATCCATATAAAACTTATGGATTGTTAGTTTAATTTTAATTTACAAATTCAATAGTTTTAAAAATAAAAAAGTCGTTTTTTACATAATCTTAATGCAAATTAGATATAAGAAATTTAATTAAATATTTTAAGAACTTCGTTTTATATATATAATTTTCGTTTTTATATAGGTTTGCATATTAGATTATTAATTTTTTTTGTATTTATTCGCTTATTTGCTTAAGTCTTTAATCATAATTAAAGGAGTTTGCATAATAATAATATAGTTTTAAGGATTCATATAATTAATTATCCCTTAGTAATGCTTCTAAAAAATTTAAATATTAACCTTTTAGTTAGTTATCACTAATTAAAATATTTAATTTACTGATTAATTTTATATTATTAGGGTTAAATTAATTAATATTATATAATTGGTTAATTAATTCATAAAGATCTTGGATTTCTTTTAATTAATAATTATTTAATTTAACAAAATTTATAAGCTTTTAAAAGTTTTTAAAAGAAATGTTTTTCACAATTGTATGCAAAATATCATATTTTATTGGGATATTTTTTCTTCTATAAAATTGAAAAACTAATAAAATTGATCGAAAATTATCTTAAATAAATTTTTAACTTAAATTTTGAACTAAAAAATTTTATACTTTTTACATAATTAAGTTTTATAAATTTTTGTTAAAAAATTAATTATCAATTTCTAAAAGTAAAGAAATACTTAAAAAATCAAATTAATCGATATTTTGTTTTATATAATTTTGAATAAAACTATATGTATTCCTTGTTTCTAAATTTTAAAGACAAATAAATTCTATATATTATTATATTATTTTAATATTATATTTCCTGTTTGTTTTTAATATTTTTTAATGAAAGCTTTCATAAATTGAATTTAGAGTTAATGATTAATCATATAAAAAAAATTAATGTTATTTACTTATATTTTAATTATCAATTAATTATAAAATCTATTACTCTATATTATTAAGCATATCAGAATTTTATAAATGATTTATTGAAATAATATAATTAAAAAAAAAATTTTTTTCAATTAAGGACTATATTTAATAATTCGTTAAGGATTAATTTTATAATTTAAGCAATAAGTTATTATAAAAAATTTAATTTGCTAAAATTTATTTGCCATTTATTGAACTATAAGAATATTTAAATATTTATATTTTCGATAGTTTTTTAAAAGAAAATAATTTAAAAAATATAATCATAAATAAAATGGTATTTTTTTTTTTTCAGCTTTTCTTTTTTTTTATTATGAAAAAAATATAAAAATAATATATTTTTTTAGATATTTTTATTATTAAAGTAAAAGTAAATAAATAAATATAAAAATTAAAAATAAAATATTAAATATATATAATTAATTTTTTTTAAATTAAATTAAATGTATATTAAATATTTAAAAAATATAAAATTAATTAAAAAAAATATTATTAAAAAATAAATTGATATTTTATAAAAGATATTTAAAAAGAAATTGTATTTAATGATAATTATATTGTTTAAATTAATTGTTTAAGAGTAGAATATAATATTATTAGATTGAAATAAATTTATAAAAATACACAAAAAAAGAATAGAATTTTGATTTCTATGAATATAAAAAAAACTCATATTCAATATATAAAAATTAAAAATACTAAAAAAATAAAATTAATAAGAAAAAAATAAATAAATTATTATAAAAATTATTGATATTAAGAAAAAATTGAAAAATTATTACAAATATTAAATATGTTGATGTAGATGATGGGGTTTGGGATTGGGATTGGGGATTGGGGTTGGGGTTGGGGTTGGGGTTGGGGTTGGGGTTTGGGGTTGGGGTTGGGGTTGGGGTTGGGGTTGGGGTTGGGG